TTAATGTAATCTTGTCGTGTCGTATCATAGATGAGTCCAGGATCTATTGCCTTGTTAGGATTGATATGGCCAGCTCCCATAGCAAGAGGAGTGGCAGCAGCATTCTCTTGACCGATGTCTTGGATCGGACTTTGTGTGTTGTCTAGAACATCTGCTGTAGTCATCATGGCCGAACGAATGGCAGCTGGGCTCCATTCAGGGTGGGCCCCTTTAACAAGTGCAGCTACACCGGCAGCGTGTGGACATGACATTGATGTGCCAGATATAATGTTAAAGATATTGTGAAGTTCAGTAAATAGACTCACAGATGATAGTGGAGACCATGAAGCTAGTATTAAGTGACCAGGAGCCATCAGGTCAGGTTTGAGGATGAACGGGCAGGTCGTTGATGGCCCCCTCGAACTAAAATGCGCGACAGCTGGTGCTCGTTCGACACCAATTAGTGTCCCTTGAAGTCCAATCTTTGCTTTTGGTGAAGAAGTACTGTTAACATATTTCAAAACTTGATCACCATCTTGGAAATTCAGAAACACAGATGGGAATTCTGTTTTGAGGTATTCGCCCAAGTCAGTGACAAAGTCATTTGTTATGAAGATAGCACCAGCAGCATTTGAATGTCTCACACTTTTAACTTGTTTCCCAACCAATGCGTCTTTGTCAATGCAGACCACAAATTTGTCTGTAACATTTTGCAATTCCTGCTTATCTAAGCAATTCTTGACAAGAATAATAGAAATGTCGCTTGTAGAATTTCCAGGGTAGAGAGATAAACCAGTGACTGAAACTCCATTACCAAGAGTTAATATCCTGATAACGTCACGGTCAACAGTGCTAGCAGCAACAGAGAGAAACCAAGGTGCCTCATTGCTCAAAGATTGATCGAAAGGCCCTTCATTTCCAGCTGAAACGGAAACAAATATACCTTTCTCCATTGCAGCAAATGAAGCAATAGCGATAGGATCTATATATAGAGGAAATGGAGAAACTGCGCCAAATGACAAGGAGAAGACATCACAACCATCCGCAATTGCCTGATCCAATGCAGCAAGAATATCAGAGATGGTACCGGCTCCATCCCAGAGAGCCTTGTACACGGCCACATGAGCCATTGACGCAACGCCTATTGCAAAACCAGGGGCATAGCCAAAATAAGATGCACCCTTTACAAGACCTCCAGCAGCTGTAGAGGAAGTATGAGTTCCATGTCCCTCTGTATCACGGGCAGAGTTTATCGTGATAGTAAGATTTTTCACTTTAGCAAGTAGGCCTTTGTTGAAGTAACGAGCTCCGATGAGTTTCTTGTTGCACAAAGAAGAATTAAACTGAGTTCCAGTTTGACATAATCCTTTCCACCTTGATGGAACTTGAGTCATCCCATCATCATCAAAGCTTTTACTCTCCGGCCAAACCCCTGTATCAACTACACCAATGATAACACCTTTGCCATAGTTTGACTTTGGCCATGAACCAGACATTGAGTTTAGGCCAAGGAAGTGGGATGAGTGGGTCGTGTGAATTTTAACTGTCATGTCCTCCGTCGAAGAAACATAGCCTGGAGAATTCTTGATGGCTTCGTGCTCGGAAGGAGAAAGACTTGCACTGAAACCATGTATGGCATTAGTATAAGAATAGATTAGTTTTGAGGAAGAGAGGGTGTTTCTGCTGCCAACACTTGAACTGTCTAATACAGAAGCAAGAGTAGCCAAGTACCAAGAATGAGGGCTAGAAAAAGCTTTTGGCATCGCTGATGCGTCCATATGGATGATATAAGAATCTGACACAGCCATTGTTGATGGCAGTAAAAGAATTAGGATGAGAAAGAACCAAAGATACGAGGCTATAGGATTAGCCATATTTTTTAGCGATATATAGATGGAGGAGGAGACGATTTCGTAAACAAAATTTTGTTTACTTATATAGAGGGAGAGTTATGAGAAGCCAAGACCATCAGTCATAATGCTCAACTTCAATACATTCAGTATCCACAGACTTGAGCTAATAATTTAGCTGGTATAACTGAAGCTCTCAAAATAAGTGGTTAATCAAAATCCTACGACAGGTATCTGCTGTGAAGAATGTTAAGCCAAATTCTGGAAATTTAAAACAAACTTTTAACTTTTACTAATCTTTTCCTTATTTAGCTCTTTGTTGTTATTCTTCCTTACTTGCAAAAGTTTTCCGAGAACATGATTATTTGATATTTCAGAAGAGTTTATAGTGAAGAGATTTCAAAATGCAGCAATACCAAAAAACCCTCAACTCTTCCTTATCTAGAGTTAGTTAAGAAAGATTTTTTCATTTATCTAGAGCATCATTAACATCAATATCAGCAGCAGAATGTGGTGACAAAGAAAATGATACTCTTAGACAAATCTTATCACACTCTTCGTTACAAACGAAACACTAAAACGAGAATTATCTTAGAATTTACAAGAAATTGAAGAGAAACCAACACGATTTATCTTCGTTTCTGGTTTTATATAGAAGTTCAGTTCACTGTCAATTTTTGCTCCCTCAAGTACAAAGGGAATGGCATTTCTAGCGTGGAAATTGAAAAAATAATGTGAGGATTCATGATTATAATAAATGGATTCAAATTAGTACGATTTTTTTATATATATGCATTTAAATTTTTTCTTTTGCAAATTGTATATATATATTAGCTATGTTTGGACGAACCATTTGAGGCTCACTCAATCTTGTTAATTGATAGCAATCAGAAAAAACAAAATATCGTTTAATATCTCTATCATTTCCAAGAACATATCGTTTATTATATGAAGAAAAGGAATTGAGTGACTTCTGCCCATGGAAATATTACCCCAGTTGTTTCCATCTTTAACGTTCGAGGTCATTTATCATTACTTGGAAGAGTTTTAAAAGAAAAAGGATGCTTGCTCGGTTCAATTTGGTTTTTTATATTTCAATCCATTTTATCTTGGTTTTCAACAACAACTCAGTATAATCTCACTAGTGGGGTCTGGGAAGGATAGTGTATACGCAGACCTTTACATCTACTCTACCCTGGGGTAGAGAGACTGTTTCCGATAGAAACTCGGTCTCCCTCCCTCCAAGAACTCCCCACCTTGCTCTTGGGGTAACTCGAACTCACAACCTCTTGGTTGGAAGTGGAGGGTGTGCTTACCACTAGAGCAACCCACTCTGGTGGGATTAAAGGAATTTAAACTGAAGGCATTGATAAAGAAGAAATAGTTCATTTCAGTTACTTGATTAGAGTTTTAGTACTTGAAGACATAACATAGGAGTTTCTATGAATGCAAAAGCAATACTAATCTTAAAACCAGACCATGAATTTATTAAAGAACATATCTCCTCAGGACCATTGAAAGAGAGAACGAAATCTTGCTTAGTAGGAGTACTTGATATGAGTAAGAAAGGGCATGAACATGGATGAAAATCTTGATAGATTGAAAAGACACGAAAATTTAACAATCCAACATGTTTTACATAGCCTCTTGCATTCAGGCTCCCACGCACCATCTATATATTGAAAATCCTCGGGGCGACGTCAAGAGAGGCATTTCACTGTAATGTACAATAATAACAAGAGCTGGATATTAAGATACTATTAGATATCCACAACAACAGCTAAAAAACTAGTTATGCTTAGCAGCCATGTTTGAAGTACAAGACCTGGATATGTCCAATCAATAGAAACAGTCTCATGATGGATAATGGCAAGATCTGGATAGATTATCTATAACAACTAGCAAAGTAGCTCATGCTTAAGTAAAGAAACAAACACTCGGAGCTCATCTGAAGAAAGCATGAGTCAAAAGGAACTGAAAAATAGATGATCTTCTAAACTTAGACTCCAAGCAAAAACTTATAAAAAGAAAAAACAGAAATGTAAAAGCCAAAGTGAGAATCATGAATTACAAATCGCAGTATGGACAACTAATAGCAATCTGGTCATGATAATTTAAAAACAAAGAGCTTCATGGTTCAATCCACAACGTTGTACATATTAGCTGGGGGGAGGGGATGAAGAAAAGAGATAAGGCAAGGAAAAAGAGAATTAGCTGAAACATTTGACACCAGTTCACAACAGATCAAATTTGGGACTGGTAAAGATCATCTCTAAAACACCTTTTATATTAGTTGACTATCCCTAGTGAATAACTTACCACCTGGATGTGATCTGAGAATTACTGAAAGATAAACATCATGACTTGACAAGATTTGTCAGTAGGCAAAGTAACTAAATTCAGCCAGCAACTAGCTAGTTATTGCTTCCAATAGATGTAAGAACTACATCATTTAGCTATCTTGTTTATATGCCACATACCTAGAGCAGCCAAGAGACGAGATATAGCTGGTAAATTTCCACTGACTACCTTGAATTACTAAATGATTGGTCTGCTGTCTAAGTGAGATCAGGGTAAGAAACTTTCCTGAGACTTTTTCAGTATCAGCGTGATGAAAGGAAAGGAAAGGTAAGACAGGAATTTAGACTATGGTAACTTTCCAAAATAATAAAAGGATCCTTAACGAAAGTCACTATGCAATATGAACATTATATAAAGGTCAATTTTATATTGACAAAACACTGGGAAATCAATACAGATCTTTCCTGATTTTGATAACACAATAGGTTAATGAAGATTCTCAGGTAATACTCAAAACATTTCAAATGAATGTGATTTTAGCATGCGCAACATTGGCAAAATCAAAGATAAGGGAGAAGAGAAATGGGCTTAAATAATAAAAGGAACTGAGAAATGCACATCTACAAGCACACCAAAAAAAAGGACTGGCGCCAAGGCCTACAAATACAAATGGGCTTCACAAAAACATAGGTAAAGTTCCAACATTTGAGAGACCACTTGACAAGATGATACTACATAATCTAACCTCCTAGATTCAGTGACAACAAGAACCTTATTCAATTAGGTCAAACAAAAAGAAAACATCAGAAGACCTCAGTTCTTTGACTGCTTGAGCCACTTGGTATGGAAAGACCCTGGCACATGAATCCTCTAATATGTGTGAGCACCAAAATAATCCCATAGAGCTTGAACCAAATTGGCAGGAAGACTTTTCCTCCTGTATGAGTCAAAGTAAGCAAGACCTGAAGACATACCCGGTGTACTAATGCCCAAGTTGATAGCTAGGCAGACTACTCTGCGCCAAACTGCCGTTCAACCATCTCTTTTGCAAACTTTTCATCCACAAGTAGATTAGCAAGATTCGGATTTCTGTCAAATGCCCTCTTGATCCGATTCAAAAATATAGCACGCATAATACAACCACCCTTCCAAATCCTAGCAAGCTCCCCTAGGAATATCAAAATTGAAAGCCCATTCCGTTGAATTCTTGATTGCTGCATCTAATCTGATTGATATTCTATGACCTTCCTTTCACCGGTTAAAATATGTTTATGGGTCAGTTACATTATATAAAAGTTCAAGACAACAATTATATACATTGATGTATAGTATAAACAAATTTCTAATTTATTGTAGTTTAATATGTTACATAAAAGTTAAAGACAACAATTATGCAGCAGAGGCCGTTGTTTCTGGAGCACGAAGAACTTGTTGCAGTAAGCGTGCGGCAAGACGTTGAGATATTCCACCAACTACACGCCCTCCAATACTACGTGCTTCTGGTTCTTGAAGTACCTGCTCAAGTATGGTAGACAGTTATCAGTAAGCACATACTCTATCTGCAAAAACTCAAAACCTTTTCTTTGGTGGAGTTTGGTTGAAACACATTTTTTGTGAAAATTAGGAAAAAGAATCACAAAAACATTTTTTCAATGTTTTGAACCGAATATTAACTTAGAGACTTGAAACCTTAATGGTGAAAACATCAAGATGATGAACAGCACAGAAATTCAATCATTATGGTAAATCACACTAGTAAGCATCATGATTTTTCATCTAAGCTTGCAAACACGCAATAAGGGCCATCATATCCTAGCTAAACATTATTAGAGCTCCCGCAACACCTTTTCCCACCCTCCCCTGCCACCCCGACTAAAAGAAGAACGACGGGGTAGTCTGTCTCAAAACAAAAGATTCACACACACACATACATGTATAACTACGGGTATATATACTGTTTATATACACAGTAAACGGGGAAACCATCTTGCATCATTAAGCCGGAAATGCATAAACCAATTCAATCCAAATATCAAAATTACATTCCCCAGACCCCACTTGTGGGATCCTACTAGGTTGTTGTTGTTACATTCCATGGAAGAGAGTGCTTCTAACCTGCAAAATTGGTTGCAAAAGACTTGGATCAAAATTCTCTGAGGATCGCAATAGTCCCCATATAGTAATCACTTGTGTTCTAAGTTCCATTAAGCTCTGTTTCTCAGCAGAGCTTATTGTAAAGGGGCCATTTGCGCTTCCATTAAAAACAAAAGTCCTCATGGGACCAGGAATAGAATTAAATGATTCAATAACTGAGCTCAGAATAATAGCTTCAGTGACACGAACTGCCTCTTTAATAACCAAATCCCTTAATTCTACACCATCTGGACCCAACAACAACTTGAGGACAGGTTGCAAAGCATCTTTTGCAGAAAAGTCTCTATCTTGCTTTCCCTGGACAAGCAAGTTTTCAAGTCTATTCCACCTGTAGTAACCAAGAGTAAGAGCTTCACAATGTTAGCAGCCCATCAGAAGAATGAGCTAAGGTTAGAGAAGGAGCAGAAAAAAGGGAAAAATAATGCCTGCCTGAATTTCCTATCCTTGAAAAGTAACTCAATCAGAGCATCTCTCAGATATGGATTAGGATCCGTTAGAAGCCTTTTGGCAAAATATGGATATGAAGCAGCCAGTACTTTAAACTTAGGGTCAGCATATAGAGCTAAACCTTCTAAAACTGTGAGAGATCTCAAAATTAATGCGTAATAAGCCGGAACTGCAAGAATATCAAACAGCCAAAGAAGCAATGTCAGACATGATACTATAATGCTGTTTTAAAAAAATATTATTTGTGAAGTAGCTAATGCTGTTAAACAATTTCTTTTATTTGCTAATAGCTAAAGTTATTAAACATTTTAACCAATGGTCAGCATACTATTCATTGCAAGACTAGCAACTCACCATTAAAGGGATATTGATACAACACAGCACCCAGACCATCTACAAGTGTTTTAAAGTTTAGCTCGCTCACAGTTGAATTAAGTGCATCATCGAAGAAGTTACGCAATGCTGGTACAATTGGAGAAACATCTACATCAGGAGACAAAAAGTCTAAAGCATAGTAGTCACGAGCCATCGCTTCATAATCCCGATTGACCATGTGAACAACATGACCAATGATAGCAAATCTTGCTTCTTCAGGAGTTTCACTCATCATCCCAAAATCAAGAAAAGCTAGCTTTCCATCAGGTGTTGCCAAGAGGTTCCCTGGATGAGGATCAGCATGAAAATAACCATACTCAAGCAGCTGTCTGAGACTGCATTGGATGCCTGTGTTTACCAGATCCAAAACCTTTAGCCCCTGCCTCTCGATTGCTTCTTGCTCATTCAACTTGACACCTTCAACCCACTCCATTGTTAAAACTTTCCCACTTGTGTAGTCCCAAAAAATATCTGGAACGAGAACATCTGCTTTGTCAGCGTACAACTTTTTAAATCTCCTTGCATTCTGCCCTTCCTGCATCAACCTGTCAAAATTAACATTCAAACCCAGAGGAATGTTGTAGAATTCTATCGACTCTGCAGCTCTTCTGCTTCTACACCTCCTTGACTCCATATATATAAAATTAAATTGTCTATTATGCATTCCACTTAAAGGCATTTTCTAAGAGAAAGACTCAAAAACTAACCTGTACATAGTTGAGCTCTTGATAAACTCTGCGAGCAAATTCATCAATAAGAGCAACAACATCACTTGTAATTATGTCAACATATCTATTAATCAGGATGCCTACTCCCCTTATTAGGTAGAAGTCTAATCCTATTGCTTCTTCGATACCCGGCCTTTGCACCTTCACAGCAACAACCTGGCCCGAGTACTTAAGTTGAGCTTTATAAACTTGACCAAGACTGGCTGCAGCAATAGGGGATGCAGATATAGATGAGTAGATGGTATCAAGCGAACGACCCAACTCTCTCTCAATGCATGAAAATGCTTGTGCATCTGGAAATGTTGGCAAGGCATCCTGCTCAGAAGTAAAAATGGTCAAGTTTGGTTTGCGCAATCAAAGGTCGTATTTTTTTTCCTTTTGAGAAGGTAACCTCAAAGGTTGTATTTCAATCAGAAATATACTAACTATGTCAAGAATTTGCTTGTGATGGAAAATCTACAAAAAGGAAGAAAATACATACCTGGAGCTCAGAGAGCTCCTCAAGGTACTGGGGTGGGCATAAATCAGGCCTGGTGGATAAACCCTGTCCGATTTTAACAAATGTAGGGCCCAAATTGGTGAAAGTCTGCCTAAGTTCAATGGCACGCGATCTCATGTTCCGATCAAGCTCCCCGTTCAACCGGTCAAGCCATACTTTTAGCGCGAATGAACCAAGTCCAGTGAATATTTGAAGAGCTCTGCTCAGTACCTACCAAGCAATCAAGCAAAATTGGGCGTATGAACCAAGTCCAATTAAACCGATTTACGCTCGTTATTATTTAGTGATTTTTACCTTTAATGGGCGAGAGCCATACTTGGTGGCCAAAAGTTCGGGACTATAAAGAGAAGCACCCGCAGCACGTGACATAGCTCTGGCTTCAGCTTGCATATCCTCGGCTCTATCTCTCCCAACTTGAAGGGCTACTCCTGCACCATTACTTACATCTCTAATTGCTGCTACTTGTTGTTGAGGCCTCGCCTCCACCAGAGCCGCTCGAGGAACTGTTACTCTTAACTTCACTTTCCGTCCGCCGGAGCTGGAGCTTTTCGCCCGTGAAACCCGAACCGCATCGGCGCAGGACGGCAGCATACTATGATGATTGGCCGTCAAACTCATCGTGACAGGCTGCCGGCGCGGCGGAGCAACTAATTTCCCCCCAAAAAAGTAGGAAGTACAGGTGAATGATGTGGAACGAAACGAATCAATGACTTTGCCAGAATTGCTGTATTTCTCATTTATTTAGTCCATTATTTTTCTGGCCAATATTTATTTTCACCTTACGTATAGCATACGTGTCTGCACCTGGGTACGCAAACACTAGATATGGAAGTTATTGGCTTCATTTTGGAATTAAATATTAAATATTGCACAAAAAAGAGAGATTTTATTTTACAAAAATTATAGGTCATTCATTTGTTTTGTCAATTTCAGTGAATCTAAGCTAATTACAAGTTTGAACAAATAGAAATGAGGAAAGCTGTACAAAATATCCTAGCTGACCTTATTTATGCTAACTCATATCTAACTCAGCCAGAACTGCCATTTAACCCTGGTTACATAAATAAGCTAACTAACTAACCGCGTAGAGAGAGCGCCTATCTCTCATAAGAGAAGGAGAGCCACTTTTTTTGATAGTATATTAATGAGTAGGACTTAAATTCCAAGCGCTCCTAGCTCAGAAACCACACACAGACAAAGACATGGAGGCCCATAAAACTCATAAATAATAGACTAAGAAATATACGTGAGGTCTGATTCTAACTTTGTGTAACTAACACACTCCGCACGTTTAACATCTCAAATTCTCAACTATAGTTGTAAGTTGTGACATATTAAACATCTTATGTTATAACAAATGTGTCTATTAAACACAATTCTGATAGGTTCAAAATCAATAGAAGTGCGGGAATGTCATTCTCTTTTGGCATAACAAACCGAACCAATAGAAGAAATAAATATCAGAAATTTAAAAGAGCAAAATAATAATTAGTCAAATTTTAGAGGAAAAAAGAGAGAATGGTCATCACCAAAGTCATATAATTATGTTTTTTCACAAAAAAATTATAAAACTTTCACTTACACAAAAATCATAGCAACCAGAAAATACATTTTTTGGGTAGTATTTTTTTATTCTACTTTTTTTAGTCTAATAAATAATATTTTAATTAAAATAGGAATGACCTGACCCGACCCACCCGACAATACCCATATATATAAATTAAAATAATACTAAAAGTGAATTCTCCAAAACACGATACTTCTATCTTTTATTTTTCTTTTCAGAATTTTCATTCAAATTGATAGCATTATTGTTTCAAGAGCTCTCTAATTTTCTATACTTATTATTATTATTATTATTATTATTATTATTATTATTATTATTATTATTATTATTATTATTATTATTATTATTATTATTATTTGTCAGAATTTCATGCATTCTAAACTAAGTATTCTTTTTGGGAGAAGGTTTCACTTATAGTATTATTTTAATTTATATATATGAGTATTGGAT